TTTATTTTTTATTATATTTTATTTATATGTCATATGGTTTGAATTTAAAATTTTTTATTTTTAACAAAAAAAATAATAACTAAATTACTTAAATTGTTGATACTGTTGATAAAATATATTGAGTAAATTATTGCTGTAGTCCGCATGATGAGGGCTTCATCATTTTCCTTCTCATTGAACTCAACAGCGCAACCTTACCTAGTTCTTTCTTCTTCTTTTTTGCCTTGATGATCTTACCTTGTTCGGATTATTATCCATATCCATGCAATCATAGAAAAGCTTCAATTTTTTCAGACTAAAAACAAGATCATGATTTACCCAGTTGCTATCTTAATGCATATTTTTCAATGTTGGCCTAAAAAAATTTTCTTATGCATCATTTAAAGAACCCTGAAGATGAATATTCAAATTTCTTTTGACTTTTTTTTTTTTTTTTTTTTTTCTGGCCAACATTTTCTTCGACATAGTAAACCTAGACGTTTACAGATAACACAAAGCAGCAATCGAAGAAGTTTAGCAAATCACTTAAGAACTAATCAAATCATTGAACTTAATCCACCCCTAGTGCTGTAATGAAAAGAAAACATCGTTTATCATCAAAGAGATGCATGCAAAGAAGGGAGATCATATGAATAAGGACTATGTTCCTCATTGTTAATGGAAAAACCATTACACCGCACCATTTAAACAGAAAGCATCATCCAAGCAATAATGAGAAACTACAAACAGTCAAATAAGCAATGAAATTAAATCTAAAGGCCTGTTTTAGCAGTGTGGATCACTGTCAATGTCAATTTCATTGCACAATCTATTTACAGCCCTAGCCAAGACACAAAATTCGCGTATCCAATCTCCTACAACCACTAAAGTTTCCATGAAGATTATAGGCATCAACTAGCACAGCATCTGACTTTCTTATGCAGAAACCAGATGGTGAGCAAAACACCTCAGCTGAGAAAAAAAGATTACTTGATAAATTTTTTAACATTTCAGGAATTACCGGCTGCTAGATTTTAGCTGGTTTGATTAGCTGGTCTCTGTGTTTTGTCATTAAGGCCGGTTCATGTTCATCACCTCAGCACTACCCGTGACACGAAATACAGTGACTTTAAGCACAAATTCCCTTGTCTTCAGCAGCTCAAAGACACAAACATCTCCTTCCCCCAGATTATTCTCCAATGTAAATTCATACCATCCCTGACTAAACTTAGCCCTTCCCCCTCTATAAAGACATCGAACAGGCCATTGTTTTCCATTGGGAAGCTGAAGTTTAATAAATCCTGAAACCCCACTTAAATGCTTTTCAGCAAAGCAAGTTGGCAAGTACTGCAAAACCAAAAATATTTAAATAATTTTCAAGTGAGACATGTTATAAAGGGAAAATTGTAAAGCCTCATATACCCCACGATAATAGATGGCTCACCATAATACAGCCCCGATAGAGATAAGAAGGCCGCAGGACAACCCTACAGAAAGGATTAACTGGTTCAAATGCTTTTGCTGCATTAATTGCCCTCTCCCTTTCTTCAGCTGTCACAGTTCTCTTTCTTGCTGAAGCACTCTCATAAAATCTAAAGCGGTTATCAGCTTCATCTTCATTTTTAGCTGATGAATTTTGTTCGTCTGCATTACAGTGAATTAATGTTCAGATATTCCAATTCTTTGGACACTACAACATTGAATGGAAATCTAAAGGTCAAAGGACTTACTAGGATCAGGCTTCAACCTTTTCCGCCCACGTTTTTTGGTTTTCTGTGGCTCTTCAGCTGAAGCATGCAATTTGACTTCATTAGCAGAGTTTTTAATCTCAAATTCATTAAGATTAACACCTATATGTTGAGCACATTGATTATCCGCACCCTTTGAGACATGTAGGTTTCCATCAGCACTCCAATTTATGCAGTTGCTAAGTTTTGACCCACCAAACAAATTCTGCAGTGGTGGAGAGATGTTGTCCTCATCTTCCAATTCTTCAAATGGATATTGTCTACCGTGACCAAATGCCTCAGCACCACCGAAAGTATTGGAATGATAGAATATCTCAGACGCAGACAAATTAAATATACTGACACTAAAAGCTGAATTCCCTTCATATCTGAAAATCAGAAAGTAGCCAACACGGATAGAGTAACGTTCTAAAAATTCCTGCCAACCCTCCTGAAACCATATCTTGTTGTCAGCTTTCTTTAATCCTACACGGGAAACATGACCATCAGGAACTGTGAGAGCAGCAGCAACAGAAAGTTCACCCTTGAATCTCCTAACAAAGTTATCTGGGATTCTCTGTAAGCACCCAAATTAAGTTAGGACATATTTGTTTCAAGAAGAAAACAATGATTACAGTTTTGATGAATAACAGTTGATGAACCAGACTGATCAAATAAATATTTTGCACAATATGAAATGAATGAAGATACTCTATTCCCATCATGGAATCTTAGAATATGTTTGAATCACTTGAAGAAATTAACACAAATCAGCACATGGAACAATGAAACTCTGACCAGAGCATGATTGTAAATGGGGAACAGAGAAATTATAACCTTTTGCAGGAACCAACGGTGTTTGTTCAACTGAAAGAAAAAGGAACATCATGAACAACTAAATTTATTGTAAACCAAAAGTGTCACAACCATCTTGCTAACATAAGTTTCTTCCATAATAATCCACTATCTTAATAGATCTACTGCCATGAACCAAAATTTACCGAGCATCTTCAACAATTCCACAAATAACAGCTCTATGCTACTTTTAAGATATTTACTCCACAAGAAGAAGACTTTACAAGAAGGTTGAAAACTTTCATGGTTTGGTTCCTTAACAGTATAATAATAATCCAGACCAAGTTAAGCAAAGCTATTACACATCTTCTTCCCAAAATTAAACAACTTAAAAAATAGAAATAATTAATAAAACCAAAAATTTCTTTAACCTATCCTTTATTCAGCTCCCATTTTTAAGTACCCAATCAGCCAATCAAAGTTCTGGATTTAATTAAAAACTTACCTCCAAAGTTTCGTAGTCGCTCTAAAAGGAAGGTACGAAAAATATCTAGAGAGCAAAACAACACAATCATGAAAAATTCACAATTTGTTTCAATACTTCCATAATTTTCGAAGCTAAACTTCTCCAAAACCCAACTAAGAATCTCACCATGAAAATTCAAACACCAACCCAAAATTTGTGTTTCCTAGCCTTTCTATTCTCCATTTTTTGTCAACAAAAAATCAAGAAATAGACCACAGAAGAAGAAAGCAACAAAGAACAGAAAAAGGGTAATAACAAGAGAAGAAAGTCTAGGCAGAAGTCTAAAGAGATGAGAAGAATTTGGGTTTACCAGTTTCTTGTCCTGAATGGTAGAGGGCAGAATCAGCTTGTGGAAAAAAGGGCGTGGCATATTGGAGAAAGAATAGTCAGATCATATAATGATGTGGGTGTGAGTGTATGTATCTTTCTGTGTAACTGATAAGACCTTGTGTGGCTGCTTACACTGAGAGAGAAAGAAGGAGATATTAGCTTTCAGATCTGGTTTCTTCCTACTCTTCTTCTTCACTGGTTCTAGTCAAATACTGCTTTTCTACTCCAAAGAACAAACAAATAAACATCAACTTGACCTAAACCCTGAACGAGTTCATTACATCTTGCAACTCGGGTAAGATAACTCGGTTGTGACTCGGCTAGCTAACTCAGTGACCCCATATGTGTGGTCCACCAACTCCTTTTTTTTTTTTGCCGTGATTTTATTTAAAAATCTCTCCTTTTCGAGGTGACCTACGCAACTCTTGCTTAGATTTTCTTAATCAAAAGTAAGGATTAAATTTAAATAAATTACCAAAAAGATTGAAACTTTATTACAAATAAATTAGCAAGAAGTTAACTCAAACTTTGTTTCCCAAATGAATTAAGCTCAAACTCAACCCTTCCAAATTCAATAAAAATTGAAGCTTGACTAAATCTTGATAATTAAGAATCAAGCTTCATTTTTTTATACTAAAGATTACGAATTTAACATCAAACTTGTTATTAAGAGTACAAGTAATTTTATTATCAAACTATATAATTTATGATATTAAAAATCAAGCTTGATTACTCTAATATCAACTCATTTAAAACTTTGGTGGGACACTCCTTTCTATTTCCTAAAAAACTCCCATCTAGAACATGTTGACTCATTGAGTTGGGTAGCTGAGTTGGTGAGTTGGTGAGTTGGTGTGAGAAAGAAAGAGAAAACAAACAGATTTTATTAGGGGAGCTTTATTTTACTACCGAGTCAAAAAGGAAAAAGAAAGACAGAGGGGTCACCCAAATAAAGGATCCTTTATTTATTCCATTCGTCTTAGGACAAGGATTGAGGACACGTGTCAAGCCAGGGTGGATGGGGACCACCCCCCAGAGAATCACATGCACAGCAAATCAAGGATTGTCCTTTATTGCAAAACCTCACCTACTCCATCCATTGCTACTTTATTAAGTAAAAGGTTGTCGAAACCCTTCAAAAACTCCACCAATTTTCATTGCTCAAATTAAATATCTTGAATTTATTTATGTGAAATGTTTAATGCATTTAAATTAATTTTTAAATGAACTAACCCTAATATTCGAGGTTATTTTTAATTTTAAAAAGGGAGAAATCAAAATTGTTTGACAATCATAGTAAGATTAAAATTATTTATCATATGAATTTCAACATGAAGATTACATGATGAATGATTTTTATCTTGTCAAAATTATTAGGGCAATCTTAATTTTTTGCAATCCCTTTTAATTTAAATTTTTTTTTAATTTGTTATAATTAAGAATATAAAAAAATTGTATAATCTACATTTTTGTTAAATCTCTACATTTTTGTTCAATATTTTTTATTTGTGAATTCAGCCATGAGTTTTATAACAGATTACTCAAAGAAATAACCATATATATATATATTTGTTAACTCTCTACATTTTCACTAAATTTAAGAATCAAACGGTGAAATATCTAATCTAGAAATAATTTTGAGACATCTTTTGGGATAATTTCTTGGTTTGCTTGTTGTACCTAAACTAAGATTTGGCAATCAAACCAAGCATGAAAAGATAACACTACTTATATAAACTGGAAACATAACTCGGAAATTAAGAGATTTTAGTACAACCCATACGAAAAGAAAAAACTAAAAACTTAACATACTGTGCTATCCAGCATCATCAAAAACAAAGTCATGAAAAGATCAGTATGCAGGAGCTACTAAGCACCAATCCTTCCTCATATTCAAACTTAAAAACTCTAACTTAAAGTCTCAATCTCCATCTTGATGGCTACTTTAATTTTCTATGGTTGTCAAAAAAATGGACTAGAAGCTCTTTGGGGGCTACAAGCACAAAGATGCAGACATCATTTTTCTGCAGCTTGTTGTCAAGCACAAAATTAGACCATCCTTTGGATAGAGTGATGGCAGCGTTCTTCCAAAACACACTCTTTACTTGCCAAGATTTTCCATCACTTGTCCTCAAGGTGATAAATGTTGTGCATTGAGGAAGATGTGCTTTCGCAAACCATCTTGGAATAGCCTGCAAAATTGACACTCCTTGAGAAAATACCAAAAAAGAAAAACAGATATTTAGGTTTTACATAGTTTGTAACGTTAATCGAGTATAGTCTAGGTTTTTCTTTGAATCCAAACTTCAACAAAGACCAGCAAAAAATTCACTACAGCTTGAGCAAAAATCAACATTAACTATCATTGTATGAGATGATCTAGAAGCATGTTAGAACATGCTTACCAATAGAAACGCCTTCTTCACACTAGACTCAGGGAGGCAGCTTTTGAAAAATGGAAAATTGGAAGTAAAATTCCCAACTTTTTCCTCAAGTTTCTCTTTCCCTTTGCTTCTCTTATCTGCTGATTTTGTTTTAGCCTTACTTGTGTTGGCAGTTAGGTCCAATTCTTCTATCCTAATCTCCTTCTCAACCTCTTTTCCCCCTTTAATTTTCTGAGGAAACACTCTTGGTCTTCCCCTAGGCCTTTTACTCAAGGAAATGGCAGAGAATCTCTCCAATCCACTTCTGTCGAAAATCTGAACATCAAAATGCATATTCCCATCATATGTGAACACCAAGAATTCACTTCCACTCAAAGAGTTGTCCTCTAGAAACTTCTCCCAACCATCCATAAGAAACAATCCTTTCCCTTTCTTGCACGAAGTAATGTTCCAGAGTTCACCAGAAGAACCCTTCAGCACTGCTATGTTACCACTAGACCTGATTTCTTCTGATAGGTTGTATTTCCTAACAAACTTAGGTGGGATTTTCTGCACAGAAATTGCATAAAAATTGCAGGAATACATGATCGAATGAAAAGGAAAATGAAAGGAATGGAAGGTTATTACCATGTAATTAGTGTTATAGCCACCATACAGGAACTGGAAGAAGGAAGCCCTGTCATCTTGAACAAAGAGATCCATGGCCACCAACACCACTCTTCCCTTCTGCCCTTCTTGTTCTTGGATTAACTCATGAATTTCTAGTCTTTTCCACCAGTTTCTTTGTCCAACTTTGAAAATTGATTTGGATTTTGCTAATGTAAGAAAATGGATGTCTTTGTCATTGCAGTATGTTTAGCTTTCTTGGAAGACAATTTTCCTTTCTAGGTTATTAAACCAGCTGTTCAATTTGTCTCTTTACTTCAATCTTCACGTGGGAGCTGTCTAAAAAAACCATAATTGATGACCTTGAAAGAGCCATAAAACAGAGTTAATGGTAACCCAAAAACATCTATCTTAGTTCAAATATTGTAAACAACCTCTACGTCACCTGTTAGTGGTAATTACACTGACTTCCACTTGTGGGGATAATTATTGTAATTTTTGCTTTAGGAAAGGTCATTTTTAGCAAAATGTTAGAAATATTTATTCATTACATGTAATTCTAAATTGGGGCTTTCTTTGCATGTAAGTAGCACCAACTTCCACTTAACCGTTTCTTAGACATGATCCACCTCGCCTGCCGATGGAACCGTTTGGCTCCTCCGATGTTAATTCCCTTCAATTCTTGCTTTGAAACATCAAGAGTCCCAATTTTTGTCTCCTACAAATTAATGCTTTCAAGTAAAATCTCTTAAATCCCATCTTCATTTCCTTCTTCTAATCCATAAAGAATAAATATTTTGAATACCCTTTTGTCAATTTTTGGTTTTCTTCTCTGGGTTTATTCCTTTGTCCTGTAATTCATATGTAAATCATCTTTTTCATTTAGGGTTTATCATCTTGTTACGATTATTTATACATTGTCAGTGAAAAGGAAATGCCTTTCTTTTTTTTTTTCTTTTTCTTTCTTTTTTGTTTTTTTTTTCAATTGGAATTTTCAGCATTGAATGTTTTGATGCATGAAGGGATTTGAAGAGTTAAGGGGAGAAGATTTATCATGGGGACAGAATCAATGATCTCAATAATCACGATGATGATAATGGTGATGATGATGGGTGCAAAAGCATTTGATCCCAAGGAAATCTTTATGAAAGATAGCAACAATGTCTATGATCCTTGCTCTGATGCAAAAGTTCAGAAAAATGATGGATTCAGCTTTGGTCTTGCCTTTTCATCCAAGGAATCTTTTTTCTTTAACCAGGTTCAGCTTTCCCCCTGTGATACCCGCCTCTCCTTGGAGAGCAAAGGTGCAAAACTTTCAGTTTTTCGGCCAAAGGTGGATCAGATCTCCCTCCTCACTATCAACAGCACTGACTTTAATCCTGTATGTATCTTGATCCCCTTGAAAATTCTCATTTGATTTCTTATATCTCTTTTTGTAGGAATTTCTTTCTTTTGTTAAGCAAAATGTTTTGTTAGTGTTTGACATTCTCCCTCGAGATTTAGTTTGTGTGTAATCTTCTCTATCCTTATTCAGAATTGTGCGCATTGGGAAATTGAATGTCTTGGGAATCTCTATTGTAGCTAAGGTTGAGAGATTTTAGATAGTTTGTATTCATTTCCTCGTGTAGGGAAACTTTTGTTTAAAATTTGCTTGAGGATGTGATAACAATGATTGAATTATATAAATACTTAACAAGAAGCCGGTTTTTAATGAATTGACATTTTTTTGCTTTTCTTTTCTTTTCTTTTTTCAAAATTTTCAGCTTGAATCTGGTGGATATATGGTAGCATTTGCTGGAAGAAAGTATGCAGCAAGATCAGTACCAGTAATGGTGGCTGATGATAAAAACACCATGATCAGTTTCACTTTGGTAAAACCCAAAAAAAAAAAAAAAAATCGTTGAGCTTAGAATTGATGTTTCCTTCTCTATAATATAACTATTGATGGGTTTGAAAATTTTATTTTGGCCATGTATAGGTTCTTGAATTCCAGCAAGGTACATTGCAGAATTTATACTGGAAAAGCTTTGGGTGTGATCACTGCTCTGGGATTTGCCTTAACAAGCAAGACTGTGCAATACCAACCTCAAAGTGCAAGAGCGGCAGCGGGCCTATCAACTGTGGCCTTGGCATTCAGCTGGCATTTTCAGGCACAGACAGGAACCTAGAAGCACTAAACACATGGTATGAAGTTAGCAATCTCCGGCAATACTCCCTCTATGGCCTGTACTCGGATGTTCGTGATTCCGTCACAAGCCAATATGATTCCTATAATAACTTGTTCTAAGCCTTGTATTGATTGAAGTATATTTGTCACTAGCAAGCTAAGTAAGCCAGAGTTAATTATTTGCAAAAGTATATATAACTGAGGTTTAAAATACTCCCTTTTGAATTCCAGAATGAAGATGGTATTCTGATATCATTCAATAGTTCATTTCCAGTCCTTTCCAATGATATTTTAAAGGTTTAAGTACCATTTTAGTCCCTCAACTTATCACTTTAGCACCAAAATTGTCCTTTAACTTTAAAAAGTATCAAAATTATCTTTAAACTTTCATTTTTGTACCAAAATGGTCCTTCCGTCAGTTAAATGCCAGGTGGCTCGTTAAAATGCCACAAAATCACTGGCTTTTTTTTAATTTTAATGACGTGTAAGTCCAGCAACGACATTTTTGACACTGTAGCAGTTTTTTACACGTCAAATTATCATCTTCTCACTTTCTCTTTT